AATGTAGACAGAAGTGGATGTCATCGCTTTGAATCAGTAAGTGGAGGGAAGCAAAGTGAGAAAATAACCAAAGAAGACAGAGAAAACTGTGTTTAGACAGCACTAGTAATCATAAAAGTATGGCAGCTCTAAGTGCCTATTTTCATTAGAATTTAATTGCAAAGAACGGACAAGATTAGAACCTAAATTGTTAGCTTCACAGCTGTTTTAGAGAAGAGAGCTACATCACATGCACACAGCGACGGGAAATATAACGACCTAGATAGAAAATGAACTTGAGGGAAGTACTTTAAAGCTAACTGTTCCTGATCTCTCTAATCAGTAGACATGCATGATACCAGAGGGTTCTGCATAGAGATTGTGCTTTAGTCCGCTGCCGGTGTTGCTCAGAGCAGCCATTCAACGCTCTCTCCTCTTCCCCATGCTTCATTCTCTTTCTCACCGGACTAATCTCTGGAAATCAATCTATATGGTCCAGGGACCTTTGCTCGCTGCAGATCAAAGGCGAAAGGCTGCAACCATGACCCTTTCTGTGGCGGCGAGGGCCTTGCCTAGCCTTGTAAGAGCCAACCTTCCTGGTAGAGGTGGCAGCAGCCGTGGATGAGGGTTGCTCGGCGTATTCCGGAGACTGGGTGGCTGCCTCCGTTGCCGCCACTGCCACCGGACTCCCCTCCCCTCTCACTACCTTGTCTTTTGTTCTTCTTTTCCAAATTTCTCTGCAACTTCTTATAAAATTTTTAAGTCTGTCACTAGCCATAGGAGCCACGTGGCTGCCACCTAAGAGCTAGCGCGACACTTAACGGTCACGTCAGCATTTTGGTTAGGTTTTTTAACGGGTGGACGCACAACTGCAGCATGAATTCTTGCAACCTAGGAAACAGCTGATATGATGATCTCCATATGATGAAAACAATTGTTGCTGAAGCATCAGGACACCGTCCCCTTCGCAGAATTAGTCCAACATGGTTAGGCTGTTCCATGCTTCTCTCCGAACAATAGAATCAGAAGTAATCGCCCGTGCTTTCATGAATCCCTTGCCAATACTCCGATGTGCTTACCGGACATGTGCTTTCTTTCTTGCTGGGAAGAGAGTCAACAACAACTGCAGATTAAAGAACACTACTTGGCGGGATAGTTGATGCAGTGCCTTTAAGAACTCCCTTAAGTCAGCTACTTTGTTACTGGTTGCTGAAGGCTGAAGCCTGCATATCAGGAGAGAGAGTCGACGACGACTAGATTTCAAAAACACTACTCGGCGAGATAGTTGATTCCCTTGCCAATATTCCCATGCATATCCTGACAACCATGCTTTCAGTATTTGAAGATGCTGAAGTGCCCTTAACAACTCCAGGAGTCGGCCACCATGGGCGCATAATAACCATTATGTTTCTCTATTTGTCTATTTTCATGTTCTTAGGAACAGGTTTGTGATGTAGCTAGCAAGGATCACCTAAAGGGGGGTGAATAGGTGATTTTAAACAATTTTAATCAATTTATAACGGAAATGATAGAACACAGTAGAGTCTGAATAAAATTCAGATTCAAAACAGTTTATATAGACAGTGTTCTTGATGTGCAGTATGTAAAGTAAGAGATAAGGGATAGAAAAACTGCACACAAGTTTATAGTGGTTCGGCTTATAGCAAGCCTACGTCCACTCACCCACGCTGATGGCCTACTGGCTAGATTTCACTATGTAATCAAGAGGAATTACCGATTCTGAGTGACAGCACTCTTGTGTATGATAGGACTCTCTATCTCATATAATCACTCTTACAAAGTATCCCTCAAGATCTTAATGTTTAGCTTAAGAAAGACAAAAAAAAGGATCGGAGTATGCTCAGACTTTTGACTTGTTGATTGTCGATTTTGTTTTATATCTTCTGCTCCTCGTAGACCTCCTTTTATACTCCTCCACTTCCAAACTAGCCGTTGGACAGTCTTCAGAGGATCATCTTCCAATCTTCATCTTGGACAGATTTGTATAAAATGGATTGAGTAGCCGTTGTTTGACAAAATCTGAATCCCGCTGATTCTGGTCGCTCATACAATTAGAATCTTGATTTCCATAAGTAGAGCTTTATCCGTTGTAATGCACACTTGTCATAATGTTTGATTGTCAATCAATTATAGCTTTAGATTGAGACAATCAAAACTTTCCTTTTGTGAAATCCATGCCAGATCACTAGCTGTTGTGATTCGTTCTGAATGAGTTTTGCTTCTGCATTTGAAAAACTTCTGCGTCTGCGTCTGCATAACTTCTGCATATGCGTTTCTTTCAGAACTTAGATTAGTGGGATTCTTTTAATAAGATATGAACCTATTTCTCATAGGGTCTGAAGTTCTTTAAAGACTTAAAAAGAGTCTGAATGACTTTTATGGTAAAGTCTGAACTTCTCATTCTGAGTCCGAACTTCTCATTCTGAGATCTTGTAAAGTCTGATATTTCTTTCTGAACTTCCAGAATATATTAACCTGGAATGGAATGCATGTCAGATTCACAAGATAAACATAGAGAGTTTTGTCAGCTTCAAAATTTATCAGGAGTTTTCCTCAACAATTTGGAACAAAAATCCGTTTGGTAACGCGATTTCATTTTCTATTTCTAGATAAATTTTAATTTCAGAAATAGATTTGAAACAAAAATGAGATGTAAAATTTTTTTACTTTTCTATTTCTGGAATAGAAATAAAAAATAAAAACTCTTCTCATTGCTCGCTCTTGCTACTAGTCGGCCGCCCACCGTTGCCGCCCGCCGGCCGCATCCCACATCTTGCCGCCATCCGCCATTGCCCGCCGCTTGCCTCCCGCCGTCCACCTCTCGCCACCATCTGTCATCCCTCGCCGACTGCCTCCTGCCGTTCACCACCCATTGTCCTCCACCACCTGCTGCTGCCCGTTGTCCTCCGATGCTCGCCCACCGTCCACCTGTCGCTGCCCGCCGTCCTTCGGCGCTTGCCCACCGTCCACCTGCCAGCCGCCGATCACAGAGGAGAAATTTTGTGTCGCATATTTTTGCTCGGAAACTTATCTAGGAAAGAAATAGAAAAATCTATTTTGGCTCAAAAACACTCCACATTCGTACATGCAACGCATCAAATGATGTAAAGAAAGCAAACCTCGTGACAGAGAGAGCCCAAGGAGTGACGAACTGGTCCTCAATGGCACGATCCTCGCCGTAAACGTCCTCAACCCCGCTGCCCACGTTGGATTTTGGTTCAAGCACGGGCTCGCCTTCCCTCAGCTCCTTCATCGTGCTCTCCATATTCACCGCAGTCTTCCTCTCTCCTCTGATCAAGCCGCCTTTCAGCCTCAATGCCGCCACAAATCCACGGCAGAGACAAAACCCTCGCGTAGAAACGGAGACCCAAGACACCGCCACCACCACCACTCCTCTGCTTCAACACAGAAAACATGTCAAAGCCCAAAAACCGCACAGCGGGTCGTCCATCTACTGAATAGTGCTCTCACTATCCCTCTCTCGTTCACTTAAAACTTCTACATAACCGAACTCGATTGGCATATGATATGATATCTACTGTGAACCGCGAGTTTCGAGTAAGACCGAAGGAAGCTTCCTCGGCGACCAAACCAAAAAAGGAAGAGTAGAATGATAGATATTTGACTAAGGTGATGAATATGAAGATGAAGATGAAGAGAGATCGACCTTGTTCTGCTGCGAGCATTACCAGCGACGAACTGGCTCTTCTCAGTGCGATCATCGCCGACCGACGTTCTAGTAGCTCACCGATAGAACAGAGAGAGAGAGAGAGAGAGTACAGGTGTCGAGTAGTGGCGATGGTAGTCGATGCTATGTGTGCTTCGGAGGGGTTAAGGTAGATGTCGAGTGCATGCATGCATCCAAGCATGCGAATGTAACGGCTAAACCTCGTCGCCGCACGTATCGAGCGCACTTTTTTAAGACTGGCGTAACAGGGGACCGATCACAACAATATCAGCGGCTTTTGCCAAAATATTCTTGCATTTTTTCATTTTTGCAATTCATTATTATTTTTTTTTCCTCTTCGATTACAGATGTTTCTGTACAATCCGCTTTTGATGACTTACTCCACCGAACAGAGAGTTCATTCTCAAAACAAGATATTTACATAAGTGCGGCTCAGAAATTAAGTTCTGTTCATTGACTGTGCGTACGGGCCTTTGAAACCCACCCAAGCCTGGCCCGAACCACAAGAGCCCGGGACGTTTAGGGCATCTATCAAGAACACCCAGCTCGATTGATCCCGAGCCCAACATTTTAAATATAAGGTTAATATCACCAAAAACCACAAATTGTACACTTCTGATAAATTTATGTCAAACTAATTTTTTGACCATAAAAAATCCCAAACTGGTGCACCTATAACAAATTTACCCCAATCTAATTTTTTGAACACCAAAAACCTCAAACTGGTACACTTATGACAAATTAACCTTCCATTAGTTTCCATTATATTTAATTAATATCATGAAAAATCACAAATTAACGGAGGATAAAACACCAAACTCGTACACCGTCAGTGTCACGTGCCATCCAATTCAGCAATTTAACAGAAACTAACGATTGATAAATTTTTCACGGATGTACCGATTTTGAGTTTTTGGTGATCAAAAAATTAATTTTGGGCAAATTTACCATGGGTATACCAATTTAGGATTTTTCATGATATTCACCATAAATATAAACGGGGATAAGTATATTAACAATCCTAAAACTTGTCATAAAAATATAATTGAATCCTAAAACTTTTAGAAAGTGCAATTAAATCTTAAAATTTTCAAAAAGTATAATTAAGTCTATTGTCGATTACACTTTTGACATCTTAGAATTGGTGGTGTTCGGTGAAAATGTAATCCAACCTTAGGGCCCAGTTGGGCGTGACGAATGATCACCTCTATCAGTAAAAACCTAAAAGGCGTCTTTTGTTATGTAGAAAACAGGAGATTTGCGGAGGATAAGATAAATAATAGGGGATATAAACAATTACACTTTAAGCTAAAGCCAAACAGAAGTTTTAACTGAAGATTTCCTTTAGAACTGAGGGTAGGCAGACGATCGACTTCTGCCCCTGCTTCATGGCATAAATCTGGCAGAGCGCAGGATCCGCCACTTTCCAAGCGAATCCGCATAAGCCGATGGCTTTCCCTCCGATCGCGGCATGCCTTCCCGTCGCGTACTCGTACGAAATGTTATAGATCGCAAGAGCCTCATTGAAAATATCGTCCCACCTCCTCGGGCTCTCTTCGAAATCCGGTGCACCATATAGCAACTGTACCAGAAGAATTATGCGAAAATGAATTTCCTAAAACCACCTCTTCTCTCTCTCTCTCTCTCTCTCTCTCTCTCTCTCTCTCTCTCTCAAACTAGGTCTTACAGGAAGTATTCTAAAGACGAGCTTCTCTGTCCTCTGTAACTTGTTTCTCTAGAGCACTGTTCTGACTAAGACTGGAGAACATAAAAGAGAAGACAAGATAAATATACCTGCTTATATTTCTTTATTACATCATCTGGGGAGCAATCCTTCCCTTCTGCACCTTGGCTTAGAGCAGCTTCCATCTCCTTTCTATATTCGGGGTAGCGTCTTCCCCACTCCATTCGGCAGTCATTCGGGATTTCCACATCAAAATATGGGCTCTTCCAGATCCTTAAAATTATCATGGGAAGAAATAAGTCCCCATAAATTTCAACAGCTAAGATGAAGAAAAACGAAAATCGGAGCTGATTAATATTATAAGAAGAAATAAGTACCAGCAGAAGAAAAAGTTTGACTACACACAAAATCTGTTCATTAAACTCGGTGACTCGGTGATAGGATAAAATCCTAATCAACCAACTCCATCGAGAAAGAGTACTTTCTTTTTTAAGGCCGAGAGGTTGATGGCATGATCTCAAATCAACTTTCTACTTACGAAAATCCAAATATCGCCAGGCTTCATATTGTACGGAGAGCTAAGTGAGAGCAACCAGTTTAAATGAGTGTTGTCCCATTCCTATAATTATTTATCATACAAGCTCACAAAGGTCTTGAGAGTAAGAAAAAACTGAATAAGACAAAATCTCACCTTTGCCGGTTGGATTTTCTGTCTGGTATGATTCTACCGTATCAAAAATCAATCCGAGGATAGATTTGGAGCGAAAGGAAATGGAATTATCCTTTCCCATGTAATGTGGGAAAGTTTCTGCCTTCAAAAGTTTGGGAACTTTAATCTGGTCTCCAGTACAAAAGAAAGAGTCGCTAGTTAACTTCCAAGAAAAACTACCATCAAATAGGAATAAAGATGCATCACGCAGAGTTTTTATCCAACTCACAGTAAGCACTATGAAATTATGCAAATTTAGCAAAGCGTGCCCCAGAGCACTTCGGTATCTATTGCATGCTCATGAAATGGAAAAGTAAGCTCTAAATAATAATACCAAGTAGGTCATTAGCCTTGTAAAGAACAGAAGCAAATGCAAGAGAATTGAGAGACTCAAAATCTTATCTTGTCCGATACTTAAATAAAAAGGAACGTAAAATAAGAAACTAACCTTTATTCCACCATTCTTAGGAGCATCTACGGCATCATAGTATATGTCAATCAACTGACAAAGGTTTCTCTCCACCTGACATTTTTCATCAACTTGATCGCTACCAAGCGTTAGAAGACGATCCATCAATGTCTGCCAACTATCAGCTGCAACACCCACCGTGTAACTGAAAACACCATAGAAAATGTCAATTTTTCCAAGCGGTGCCTTATATGCAGCACGATCAAGCACCATAAATAGATCACCTTAATCTTCATGATCACGTTGTGTTTTCACCAAAATAATCATCAAATAATGAATCAGATTTTTCATCTCAAGACATTTTAAGACGAAAAAACCTGGAGCCAGCTCGATGACACTAAAAAGGCTATAATTATTTCCTCACCTACGTAATATAATAACCAAATTATGCCTCTACTTACTGGCACATGCCTAGTTTTTAATTAGCTCCAGGCAAAGATAAATAATACATAAAGCAGATGAAAAGTACTTGGAAAAAATATCGTGATTGCATCACATATAAATAACACTTCATTGACGGCAATTCAGCAGGGTGATGGAACAGCAAACGTCGAGCTTCTTAACCAATTTGATAAAATAACTGGAAGTTTTAAAAGCCGAAATGACTAACCTCCTTCAAAGAATGAAAAAGTCTTTAAAACCAGAGAACTGAAGTCCAAGTTTTCAAAGGAAAAGTAATTTCATGAAAAAGCTTTTCACTGAATACTAGTGATTCTAAGTTTAAAAGAAAAGAAGCAAACTAAAGTAGATTTTGGGCAAAAAACCTAAAGTTTGTTTTGGAACGGAAAATACTAGTTTAAAGAAAGGGTAGATGAATGCTTCCCTAATGCTAGTTGTAAGAAAGGAAGATATATACTCCAATTAGAGGGGAGACGCCGTCTAACACAAAGGGGGTGCGTTACCTTTTCACTATTATACTCATCTATGTTACTCACCCACTTCAATCAACAAACTCAAAAATTTATTATATCAGCCCACCAAAAAAGTATGCAACGAAGAATCGACATTGAATATCTCCGCCTTCTTAATCTCAGCGTGTTGCTTCTGTGTACATGTGTAATCCACGTGTGAGGTGCCTTTTGGCAGCAATGGTTGAAAAAAGAGAACGAGCATGGAACAGCGGATAATCATTCTGAAGTAGATTTGGCTAGAATAACGAACAATTATTTGCAAGTCCATGCAGCTGGGTTGACAGTTTTTTGTTTTCCAGGTATAATAGGAGCAACAGACAATGATAATTATGCTCTTGCAGAGGCAGCAAGGAATATCACGTGAAGAAACCATAAATCTTTTCCAGTTCAATCTTAAAAGTGCAGCCAAAGGTGGGAAAATTCATATTTCTGTGACGTATTTTATGGGAATAATTTGCGAGAACTTTCTTTTTCCCTAAGTTCTTAGATCATTCTCTTCAATCACAAGTAGTTCCAGAATATGGAGTCTCAGATTTACAGCACTGACCTAAAAGCAAATGCATATTCAAGTGCCTACCTTGGGTTAAATCTAGTGTTCAACCATAAATCAATCAACTCATTCTCCAACTCCTCAAAAGACAAGTCACTTGGCTTCTTGCAGTTCATCTCTTGCGCTGCAGAAGCAGATACCCATGGCTGGCTCGGTGTAAAGTACTTCAACAGCTGACACATGAATTGCACGCTCAATTAGTGGTTGTTTGAAAGATTTAACAGACATCATTCGGCAATTCTGAATCAACAAATTTTGTAAATAGTTCAATCATCACTGCCAAACAATTACCGAGACAACCACTGCAAGGTAGGCCTCACAAAATGACATAACAAGTACGGTACATGATGCACCAATGAGTTCATTATCAGGAGCATAGCCATTGAATCATGATTCACCCTTGATGGAAAAGAAAAAAAAAGACGCTTGATCCAGGTATCTACAACTGCAAGATATAATAACAAAGATATTCTTAAAAGGGTCTTGTTAACGAGTGCCGCACTCCTTAACTATACTTAATAAGGTAATGTTTTCATTTCCAATACACTGATTACAAATAACACGAGAGAGACGGTGAATTGGAAATCAAATAACAAACTTTCTTATATTGGCTGTTTGACAGGTGCTCCAATCCTTCTTAAGATGCTTGGCTTGGACAGTTAGCATGTAAATGAACATCTCCTTGCCAACTTAGGTGTGTTAGGAACAAGAAAATGGAATCAGAAATATCAACAGATTCTTGGGGGGTCCAAATAAATAGGAAACAAAAAAAGATCCACTCTTACAATTTAATCTCTATCAGATATTAATATCACAATAGTGGACCTTACCAAAAAAAAATATCACAATAGTGGATATAGTCATGATTCAATGGGCTTAGATCTACTTACTTTTTCTTTTGTTGTGCTAGACAACAATGCAGAGACAAATGACCAGCAGGCTAACAACATAAGTGAAAGACTGCATTTCCATTCCGCCAAATCAATGTTACCCGAGAGATTCAAGAAAAAGCAACAGCAACACATCTTAGATGTAAAAATTATCCAAGGGCATTAAGGATCGCAATCCTCTTCCAGTAAAAGGCCCCAGTTGGTCGGTCATGTTTTTTAACTCATTTTGAAGTTACTTTCAAAGTTTAGGCCTGTACACCAAAGAAGAGACGAAAGAGGTACAGGCACATGCATAAAGAGTGGCTGAAAAGGCCATTTTACATTGCTTATGAGCAAAGCCAAACTAATAAAAGCAAACATGAGCATGAACAGTTTTCCCGGTCGTTCAGGAATTAAGTCCGGGCTCATCTTCTCCTAAAGGTCTGTCACTATAGTAAATAACGTGTAAGAATTTCAGATAACTTTTTTCGCTAAACTTCAAATAACTTAACTAATAAAGCATTAAATTCCTTTTCCATTGGCCAGATAGGGTTCCATAACAACTGCTTAGCCAAGTTGGAACCCAGTTACGATGACATACAACTATTCTGAGTATAAGTTTGAAGACCAGTATGCATCAACTGTAAAGCAAGGGAAAATTGTCTAATGAGAAAAAAAGGATGGTGAAAAATACCATCCAACAACTAAAACCTCACTTAGAAGAGGAAAATCATGAAAGGATTTTGAAACTGCAGAAAAAAAAGTAAAAAAACTTCTTGTTTGGGGGGAAGGGGAAGGGGGTCCAGGGTGGTATCATCATAAGCTGGCAAAGGACATCAACCAAATGTAGTACAAGACATCTAACAAGAATGACCAAATCTCATGTAAACACCAACCTGAGGGTTCCGTGAAACCCAATACATATCCCCATCGAAATCCCCACTAGCTATTTCATCGGCCAAGGAGCGCGGTCCACTAGTGGGGAAAAATATGGCATACTTGGAATATCCAACTTTTGTTTCCAATGCTTCCACATATGTAGCGTTCAAAACATGAATATCTCCGAAATGCAAACCAGGATTGTGGTATACTAATACCTTCCCTGAAATTTGTCCACTGTCACTGCATTGATGATTCAAGGCAAAAATTTAAATAATGGAGACACCTGAAACAGCATTATAACTTCAGAGTGCAATAGGTAACCGCACCTTTTCTGAAAAGGCTTTTCCCCAAAGTTGTTAAGTATCAAACTCAAACATAGGTTAACAAGAACAGAACCAGAGATAGGATGTCTGTCACGCCCCGTACCCCACGAAGCGCTAACATCCCTACCTTGGTCGATTATGGTGCAACGCTCTCAGGAAGCGTCGCCGACCCAACGCCCAAACAGAGAGTAAAGCACGAGCGGAAGCAATTAAATAAACAACCCTGACAATTATAAAATACGAGCCAAGGATAGCCAGGCAATAAACACGATCACAGTAGAAAATATGTACATACTTACATTACTATAGAAAACCTTTTTACAATACTTATCGAACAACAAAAGTGAGCAGTACAAACAGTCAACAGCCACTGGGTCAAAAGGGTAAGTGGCTAGGGTGAGGTCAACTACTCAAGGAGGGCTACAGTCAAAAAGTCACATGCCCTCCACTACTAGCTATGGCTCAGGGTGCTCTTAGGGATTCCAGTCAGGATATGAGGATTCCGAGGATTCATCCGACTGTTCCTCTGACTCCATATCTGCTGCTGCTACTCTCTCGTCCTCGGTTCCTCTCTCCTCATCAGATCCTATCTCCGCCACTTCTTCGTCCTGCTCCGGGTCTAATTCCATCAGCTCCGGTTCGATCTCGTCTTGATGGTCTAAGGGTTCTGGATCAGCATACAGCACTTTGGGCTCTTCAACCTCCTTGATCATGGCAGCAGGTCCGTCCACGGTCTCGCCCTGGCTGCTTCAATCAGGCGGGGTTGGAGTATTTGAAATCTCACCACTTACCATCTGCGGGATCATGATATCATCCACGTCCACCGGGACATCGAAGGTTTTGAGCGGGGGTCCGATTACTCCGTCGGTTCCTCTATAGCACCAAGCCACGTATTCTTGGGTATGGTAGTACGACTCTCCCACATTAGTAAACAGTACAGAGTAATATCTCACATAAGCTGTTCCGTCTCCACAGGGGTGCACGCTCGACGACCGCTGAATGTGATGCGGTATCCCAAAAAGAGGTGGTGACCTCGGCATTCTACGGTTGGGGGTCTGAAATGTTGGGTTATAACAACCGTGAGACGAATCTCAGCGAGTATAACCCCTAAACCTAGGCTAGGCTAGCATGCATTCTCCTGACCGGAAACAAAAAAACATTCCAAACCGTAATGCAACAACAATCAAACAATTCTATGACCCTGCAGGTTATACATTTCAATGTATAATAATCACGGCACATATGTGGTACACTTAGTCACACGTACTCCAAACACATGCTCATGCTCTTCAGTGTTCATATCGCATGCCATACACCGAGTCTCACATACTCGCACACTATTCCATGCATTTTTATGCATGCAAATGTCGTCAACATGTCATATGCATATCTCGGCCCACTGGCCCACACTGGCACACTGGCAATTGCTCAATTTATTAATATTTATTACGACTCGAGTCAACAATATTCACGGCTCGGTGCGTCTAGCCTGCTTCAAAGTGCATGAGGCGCAGCACCGATCTGGCCCAGTGTCTCTAGCCTACTTCAAAGTGCATGAGGCACAACACTGTTCTCCTCATGAACCAGAGCCTGCTTCAAAGTGCATGAGGATGGTCGTCTTCCGGACGTACCGGGCATCGTCCTGCTTCAAAGTGCATGAGGACGGTATCGACCCGAAGGTCACGACCCGAAGGTCCTTAGGTGATCACACAACCAATTATTATCTAAACCTCGCGTAACACGCTTCAGGGTATTCTAGGTGATCACATGCTCATGGCAGGCACGCATTCTTGCACAATTTCATCACAAGCCTCATTCTCGGCATTCATAACGCGTGCCATGAAATGCAACATGAGCATCCACATAACATAGGCACAGGCACACAGTTCAATCAAAGTCATTCCACAGTGCCTAAGTCACAAGCCACACGTGCTTACTTGGCCTATTAATACCGTGCGGCCCAATTTCACAATGTGTAATTCCATAACCCACTCAAGCCATCAAATGGCCGATCACACTCCGCACGAATCGGCCACACGAGCACACGACATGGCATTATTCAATTCCCCAATAAATTGGCACAACAATCAACAAGTCAGTCAGCCCGGGCATACCCGGCAGTCCAGTCACCTAATCCTCAATTAGTCCCGGCTAGTCCGATAGCCCACTAATTAATCTCCCATTGATCCACTGATATTAATCCAGTATAAATTTCCACCACTCGGTTCACTAATTCATTCCAGTATTCACTAATAATACCCAAACCAATCCAGAAAACGCACAATCAGTCCTAATCCGGGTTTAGGAATTTTACTCACTTAATCCAACTCACGACGACGAGGAACGGCGGCCGATCACTGGTGAACAGAGGAACCGGCGGCGGCGTTCCCGGCGGCGACGTACGGACAGCGGTGTACGGACCGTACGGGGACGGCGGTGTACGGACCGTACGGACGGCGTACGGACACTGTACGGACGGGCGATGAACAGTGACGTACGGATGTCGGAAACGTCACAGTGGCAGCAGCTCGGCCGATCGGGATCCGGCGCGGCGGCGGTGCTATCCCGGGAAGAAAAAGGGAAAGAAAGAGAGAGAGGGAGAGAGAGAAAGGGGTCGGGTGAGGCTGAGGCTGACGCTAGGGACTGAGGTGGTCGACGGCGAGGCACGGTGGCCGGCGGTGGCGCTCCGGTGGCCGGCGGTGAGCTCTGGCAAGGCTTGCCGAGAGAGAGAGAGAAAGAGAGGGAGAAGGTGGTGGAGGGCTGATCTGTGGGGGCTGGCCGAATGGAAGGGTGAGGAGAGAGAGAGAGAAAAGTCCAAGCTGGTCAAATATTACGGGCTAGGGGCGCCAAGTGTCGCCAATCCGCGAAAATGACCAAAACGCCCCTAATCTAACGGCCTTAATTTAACCCTATCCAAATAATTGAGGGCAAAAAGGTAATTGGGCCAATAATTGAGCTGATAAACCCTCCATAATTATCCTAAAATTTTCCCAAAATTTCGGAACCCAAAAATAGCCCAAGGGCAAAACGGTCATTTTTCCGGTCCCGAGGCGAAATTTCAATTTTTGGCTATATCAATCCTAAATGAGTGTGGCCAACATAATATAGCGTCGGAATCGCGAAAATAGCTTCTTAAGCCCTTGAAAATCGACTGCCAAGTTCTGGGAATAAAATAATATTGGCAAAAGGATACTATAAGTGCCATAACTTGTGTACGGCGCTCACTTTGGTGCCATAATTTTTTTTCGGATCACTTTGGTGCCAAGTCGGAGGAAAAACGATCACTTAAGTGTCATAACTTTTTTTTGGATCACTTCAGTGCTAAATTTTTGAAAAACGATCACTTAAGTGCTAAATTTTTTGAAAAACGATCATTTAAGTGCTAAAATTTTTGAAAAACGATCACTTAAGTGCCAATCTCCGGCGAGACTCCGGCGAGCCACGTCAGCTTCAGAAATTAATAAAAAAAATGCCACGTCAGATTTCCGGCGAAAAATTGTGTACGGCACCGAAGTTGGCACTTAAGTGATCGTTTTTCAAAAAATTTAGTACTAAAGTGATCCAAAAAAAAGTTATGGCACTAAAGTGAGCGCCGTACACAAGTTATGGCACTTGTAGTGTTCTTTTGCCAAATAATATTATTTTTTACTTTCGAGTCAAAATTCCAAATTTTGACCGAAACCACTCTATATGAGCGTGGCCACCCCAAAATGACACCGGCTTAAAAAAATAACCTCATACGGCCTCAAAATCCAAGTCGGTGTCCCGAGGGGCAAAATCGTAATTTTTCACCCCCGGACCGAAATTCCAATTTTCAACCATACTAACTCAAAATATGCGTGGCCAGCATAATATGACGTCAAATTCCCAAAAATAGTCTCTTAAGCCATCAAAAATCAACATCGAAATCCGGGCCCAATTTCGTGATCAAAACTCGCTCAATTTCCAATTTTAGGGTCTCTCACTAACGGGCGGCTGTTTAGAGGTTACGCGTATCGACTTAGGGTTATCCGAGTCATAATGATCCGATCATTGAGAGAATGAGAAATTATCACTAGTCCCAGAAGTCACGATCGTTCGGTTTAAGTTCAGGACTGGTTGGCCACTTGCACTCTCGGTCATGCAGAATCACCTGTGATCCGATTGTACATCGTTGGCGTTGGCCAAACCAAATCCGTCACCTTTCCTAAGATCGATCCACATTAGTTCATAATATTCTCTCATCATTTCTCGTGATCGGTGTCCGCTTCGCGATCGGGTCCTTGGTCCACGTACCGTTTCCTAATTAGCCATACCTTATTGGTTAGTATCCCGAGAGTGATTAGCTCTGGGCAAGACTTACTAAAATGAAATGCGAAATAATGTCAATTTTATTGATCCCGGAATTACATCGAAATTCGGGCTGTTACAATGTCACCAAAGCAATATAGCTCGATTGATGTTTAAACCCAAGGGCCAGATATGAAGGCATGTAACTAAATTAAACATCTAAGCCCCAGACAAGCATAGCTACAATTATTAATTGGCAAGCTCAAGCAAAAGCAGTTATAAATGGCATGAGAAAAATTGGATAGGATGATGGTTATTTTAACAACGAAAATAAAAAACTATGCATATCAAATACTCGTGAAGACTGACCTTATACTTAAACCATAAAACATGATTTTCTTTGGAAACATGAGCAATAGCAAATATTAATCGGTTGCCTTATAAGACAAAACACTCTTATTGGTCACCCCATAAAACAGAATACTCTAATGGATCGCAATGAAGTTACCAATCAATGTGAAAGCAGATCCTACCAGATATAAAGGATTCCTAGCTCGGACATGCCCCCAGGAGAGGGTAAAACCAATTGTTTGATGTCAACTGTCAGCCTGACCACACTACTCTCATAAAATTCTATACATCTCAAAA